TTTTTTATTATCCTTTACAACTGTGGCCAAATATGTAGAGCTAAACCTGGTAGATAGCCCTCAGGAAGGCATATATGGAAAAACATCTGCTGTATTGATGAAGATGTTGCGTTGGGATACTTGAGAAATCTAAATATGAAGGACTGGGTCCCTATGGATTTTGTGTCTCTCTGAGGTTACTCAAGAGCAGAGAGGTGTCCTAACAATCCTGGTTTTGAACTAGTCTCTCTAAATCCTTTTATGGTTTTGGGCTTGTGACAAGCTATTTTTCCTCCTTTTTAATTCAATTTTCTGTGTTCATACACTGTTTAAATGATGATAGTATCTAGGTCCTCTCCCCAGGGCCCATGTCTCTTCATGATAGTCCCTGACCTGGGCAGTTTCATTCCACACAGATCAGAGAGTCACAGGAGAAATTGCTAAGTAACAACCATGGAGCAAGTTAGTGACAGCAAAAGGACCCAAACCAAGTTCCTCTGACTCTGCCTTGGACCCTGTTACACAACCTCAGTTATGAACGTAGTGTAACTACAGCTTTACCGAACCAGGGCGAAAGTCCATCCAGGTCTTGTCAGCAACAGAAGTCAAGTAGATACCAGGTAAAGATATAAGAAGAGTGGAGGCAGGCAAAATCATATCCTGAGAATATTCTCCCTATGTCCAGAGATATGCATCTCAGAGATTTCCTGATCCAAAGGCAGTGTTTTTCTATTAACAGAATTAATTATTCTATTAATCTTGAATGGATTTCTCTTCCATGAGCACTGGAGATTGTCACTTGAACCCATGAAAATTTTTGGACTCCAGAAATTGCTGTGATGAGTTTAACTACCTGTTCCATGAAGGACACATTTCCTATTCTTTGCTTTGAACTTGTTACCCACAGTGCTCCACCCAATGCCCTTATTTCTTGCACTGAAACAAACATTGAATAATTGACTCTCCTTTCTCCAGGTCACTCACAGTTTAAAAGTATTTACCTGCTGGGTGCTCTCTATCATTGCCAGAGCTTCAGCCATTAGTTTCTGGTTAACACCACAAAGGTTTGCTACTTTTGTCTGGCACTTGTGATGAACGTTCATGCCACATGCTGAAAGAAAGAACAAGAGTTGTCAGGACAACAAAGGATAGCTAGGCTGTTAAGGGTCTGACATTTGGTTGGGCAGGAACATAAGCTGCTGTTGGCCAAGGGCAGAGACCAGCCACATAAACAGCTCAAAGCCTGGGCACCATTTATGTCTCATGAGATGGCACTCAGGTCGTTTTTGGTCCTCTATGGAGACAAACTTTTTTTATATCTTCTTCTGGGTGAAAGGCTGCTTTCCACATCTATCAGCCTTTGCAGCTACAGGCTACCAAAACTCCACAGTGTATCAGCTCATAGCTAAACCATAATCACAGAACAGGATGTCCCCGTTGGTATGAGATCACGAAGATGGTGAAATGTGTTGGGTCTGTCTGATAATGGAAATAGACCATGAAAGTTGATGCTGGGAGTGATTTTGGAAGATCAGCAGTGTCACTGAGATGTTCTTTGTTTCTCTGGGAAATGACTCTCCAGCCTCGTGGACCACGTATCTTTCTATATGCTGACAGTGTTCTTCCTCCTTGAAGAATGATTCTCCTTGAAGGATGGTCCTCTTAACCACTCCTTCACCACCCTGGACACCATCACATACAGGTCTCATAGAGAAATGTGATAAATGAGATTTGTGTCTTTACATTGCAACTCTCTAAAGGCAACACCCCACTCCCATGCTCAGCTCGTGCCACATACATCAAGGACTCACCATCACACTTCAATCCTTGTCGTGCAAGGCCCCAGAGGAGTGTGCCGCAGTGCTCACAAAAAGTCGGGCTCTTGTAGTTGTAGACTTTGAAGCGGTGAGGTGCTCTTTATGGAACTGCAAGAGAAAAGCTGTGTTGGCACCTCACCCTGCTCCACCGCAGCTCTTCATGGAAAACCAATAGCACCCAGGCTTGTACCACAGAAGCTGGAATGTCTACTGCCCCTTTATCCTTGAGTATGACCACCAAGAAGAAACTATCTATAACTAACATTCAGATATACAAAGCTAAATTTTGGTACAAAATACCTGTGCAATTCAGTGGGAACTGGGTAATTTAATCCCTGGGCTTGATTTATCTGACCAGATAGCTTGCATCTCAGCTGCGTACCCAGACTCCCTTAATGCTCAATGGAAAAACAAGGGTACTTCTAAAAATGATTGATCCGATCTTGAAATGGATGTCTACATTTGTTCTCAC